AATATGACACTTTTGTGTCATTCCATAAAAATTTGTGTAATTCTAGTCTGTATGCCCTAAATGAGAAAACAATGGACAGAACAAAATAACACAAGAACAACAACAACACAAATTTAAAATGATAACATACCTATCGCCCCCTTAATATAGATAACTGGAGCTTCAGTGCTGCATGATGAGTATGATATTATCGTATATAGTAAACGCCCAACACAAGAATACCTCATCTAATCCCTTTAGATTTAATTATACATCAGCCTTATGAAGTTGTTTTGTTTGTTGTTTTTTTTTCCTAAATATTATTGCCCAATGTATGTAATATTTGTACATTGACTCATCATATTGTTATAATTGATTAATGTACATCGGAATAATTTTTCTATAAATAACCGAGGATACCAAAAGTGAAAGTACAATAGACTGTATTCAATAATTATTGAATATGCGCTGCTGGCTGCACGGACCCTCGGGATAGAATGTTCCACTCTCATGATTAATTTATAATAATGACCCTCCTCCCCACCCACCTCCCCAGTGACATAATAGGATGTAATAGCCGGTTTACTTCGGGTAATTAATTATGTTTGGACACTAGCCAGCCACCTACTTTTGTCTGATTCATTACATGACTCAATTCCCATTTACGGATTTCCATTTATGGCATTAGAACTTAATCCGCAGTTAAAATTTATCGTACAAACGTAAAAAGGTATAACAGTTGACACAGTCTGATATCTGTTCCAGACTGTGTACATATTTAGTCACCTGATAACACAGTCTGTTTTAACCATGTAACCAATGAATTTCCTGTAACTTACTTGTCCAGCTTTGATTTTTTTACCTGCCAATTTGTAAATCACAGCCATAAGCTTGCATAAAAATGCTGTGGCAGTAGAATCACTAAAATGACACCAAAAACTCAATATTTTCAACTGATAATTTCACTTTGTAAATATTTTTTCACCAGACTCCTTTCTTTCATATGACTTTGCAAAAGTGGAAAAAACAGCATGCAACAGTCTTACCAGTAATTGGAACAGCGCTACAATAATACTTATTATTTAGCCATTCTATTTTAACACGTTTTCAATGACAACTTAAAGGGTCGTTAAAAAATCTGTCTCACTCAGAAGCTTAAGCTACAGGTACTTTTCGAAGGATGTTCAAACAAATTAGCTTATAAAAGGACATAGTAAAGAACATTCACTAGGTGGTAGAGAATTGAACTGACAATAATCATTTTGAAAGATAGTATTTTACACAGTAGGTGAAAGACAAAGTAAGATTTTTCTAGTTCATCTTCCAAAAGTGTTTGATTTAAAATTGCATAAAGCCATGAACTGGAAATTCCATTCAAACATTTCACATAGTTAAAAGATATTCCATAGATTTAAATTGTTAAACTAATCAAAATAGCTATCTCCCAGATAAAATAGGAGTAACAGGTGATTTTTGCATTTCCAAAGTTTTCAATGCTATTTAATTACATTTCAAACAGTTTTTAGAAGCTTTTAAGAAGACAGTATTTACAGCAAAACCCTGAGGTTTATTTTTTTAAGGCATGCACCTGTGCTTTTATTTTATTTGTATTTTTAATTAAGTTACTGCAACACTTTTTTAATACAGGTCATATGATTACTTTCCAGCTTTACTGTGGGCGATGAGGAACCTTTGGCTTGATAGAACCCGGAAACCTTCTATAAGCTAGCTGGATAGCTAACTCACATGAAACCTGCCCAAGATAGGCCTTTGATCCTTTGGCACAGTACAGAGTTAGTTATCTTGATGACTTTGGCTACAGGCAGACTAATAGTCTTCCAGTTAATTTAGGAATAGATGTTTGCCAAAAGAATGCTAGACTACACAAAATAGTAAATATTTAATGGCCATGAAATCATTTCTTAGTATCAGCAAAATTTTGAGACAATAAATATGGTTTATTCTGGTCAAATGTAACAAGAACATTATCCATTGATCATAGATGCTTTGAGACCCTGTAAATTCCTTTTATGGGACTGTAATCTGCACTTTTCATTATTCAGTCAGTACAATATTTTTATATTTTGAAATTTTCCCTAAGAATGATGAATTGTCATGTCCAGATTGAAAGATGGACAAGTCCATTTAAGATATTTAGGGTGGTTAGGGTTAAACATTATCTATTTAAAACCTTGAATAGAAAAAGCTAAAATGCAGCTTGTTTGTTTCTCCAAAATGTGACAGCTGTAATTCATTAATTTTGCCTTTACAAATGTTAAAAAAAATTAGTCAATATTCTAAAAAAAATTCTAGATGACGATACAGATTCAAACCAAGATCTATAATGTCTCCTAAAACCAGTCAGCATCAAGTTCTAATCTATCATGACAGGCAATCAAAACAAGACGGCACTAATTCCAGGAAAATATGTCCAAAAGAAATCAAACATAGCTATGAACTTGTCACTCTGATTACTATATCCCCTGTTTAACGGGCAAAGACAAATTTTCCAAGTCAAAATTCTACAGCGTGTAATCAATCATGTTTTAAGGAAATTGGAAACAGCATGCCCTATTATAACAACATGTTCTTTATTCTGCTACACTTAACAGTACTAGAAATTAAATATGCATGATGGAAGATTGTGTTTCCAAAAAAATGTTGCCATTTTAAGACAATATGTAATAATGCTATGAATGGATACAGTCAAACCTGTAGAACCATCCAAGCCTTTCCTGGCATGGAACATGTACAGATCTGACTGAACATACACAACTAATTTTTCATTTTAAATACTCAAATGGGCCTGAGGATTGGGTTCAAATAATAATGCAGCTTTCTTGCAAAAGATTTTTAAATAGCAGTGGTTTTTACAGAAATTTGACAGTGCAAAGACTTTGTGTAAATGCAAAATCTTAACAAAAATGTCTAAGTTTAAACATGTTTTCCTGTTTTTCAAATTGAAGTTGACTTTGAAAGTGTTTCACTCTGTAACACAATACAGGTACAAGCATGTTACATGGGCAATCTTAACCTGTCCTCCCTAACCCCACCAGAAATATATACTGAGAATATAGATAAACTTCACCTCTAGCCCCTGATCTTACAAAAACTATAGCAAAGTCAGCCCAGGCTGAGCCATAAAAAATCATAGCTGTCAACACACTATATCTTTAACTGATCATAAATTACGTTTAAAAACATAAAAAGCCTAAGGTATTGTCAAGGTGTCCTATAGCTTTTAATTAATTACCTCCGTTATGAAGAGTTACATACGAATCTATGATTGTGTATTGAAAACTGACCTCGGGGCAAAAGTTAATACTGTCAGAGTCGTCTATAAACAAGCCATTATCTATGACACCTTGATTGGTATATTAATAACATTCATGTCACCTTTTTATCCTAATTGATTCTTTATTTCCCGAACATGTTAAATCATTATCAGCCATTATAATATTGTGTAAGACGAACAAAAAAAGAAAATCAAGAACAATGTGATTAAGACGGCCATCAACAGTTAACTATAACTCACTTAAAAAGTAAAAAAAAAGTTATGTTTTTTCATGAATGTTCTCAATAATAAATTCATAATTATCATTTGTGCGTGACTTTTAGCAAGCCAAGAAAACAATGGTGGAAAGTTGCTTGATGGGGGAGTAATTGTTATGTACATGTATAAGAAGTGAAATATGCAAATTAATATATTAAACCAAGAAAATTAAAAACACTAGAAATGTGTCCATAGGACACGGGTGTCCCCACACTCCACTGTTCTGTCAATCTTATGATTCTAGGTCAAATATGTTTTGGACTACATGTGCCACAAGTTGAAAAGTAAAAATTTTTTACTAAGTAAAGGGCAAGAACTTTACAAATACTGAATAAATCCACAAGCGAACACCAAAGGGCATAAGTACACATGCTGACCAACATTCTTGTAAACTTTCAGGCATACAGGTCAAATACTTTTTGAGCTATGCATGAACAAGTTGAAAATTGCAAATTTATACTAAGTCAAGAGCAATATCTGTAACTAAACTGAAGAAATCCACATGCAAATACCAGAATTACTCTTGACAAAACAAAATAAATGCACAAGCAATACCCTAGGTGCACAACTTCACATGCTGATCAACATTCCTGTAAAGTTTCATGACTCTAGGTCAAATACTTTTTGAGCTACGTGCGACACAAGTTGAAAATTGCAAATTTTTACTAAGTCAAGGGCAATAACTCTGAAATACTAAATATATCCACACGAAAAACACCCAAGTGCACAACTACACATGCTGATCAACATTTATGTAAAGTTTCATGACTCTAGGTCAAATACTGTTTGAGCTATGTGCAACACAAAATGAGAACGGCTGGACGTTCTAACAGGACAGTAATAATGTGGCTACTCTATTGTTCTCTCTTTTGTTCTTTTTAGCCACACAAAAGAAAATAGCCACATAAAAGCATAAGGAATGAATGACATCAAAGAGGAAGAACAGTTACCTATTGTCCCTCTTGCCACATTATTAGTCCTGTGAGAGCGGATGTGCAGATGGACAGATGGATGGACAAGGATAAATCTAAATGCCACCCCTAAAGCGGGGGCACAACAAGCAGTTAGAAATGGGTTTAAAAGGGACAGTGACTAGATAATTATGAATAATCATACAATCATATTTTTATTAAGATCAGCTAAATCCAAACCAGATCTCACGATCACACAGGTTCAACGGTGGCCTCAATTCTGATACCTCTCAACCCCTCAACCATAAGGGCTCATCTTTTCAGTTAAGACGACTGCAGTGACCTTTCATAACAACTATACCTATCTCATAGCTTTAAAAGAAAATGCATTTTGAAAATTTGACAGTTTATAAAACCCAGTATAACACTTTACCTACATACTACACCGTTATTACTTGAAACTCAAATTTCATCCTCAATGGGCTTTTCATAATGTCATAATTATGACTAAAAGTCTCTTTTCTAGATGTAAAAGGAAAATATAAAAATATCCTTACCTCACACGTGCCTGTTGACAACACACGTCTTGAGGAGTGAATGTAAACAATCCACGACACACAGTCTAAAATTGAGAATGTGCTGCATTAAAACCACTTGCTAAATTAATATTCCAAAATCGGCAACAGATATTGAAAATTAAGCCGAATAAAAGTCAGCCATGTGCAAGAAATTTACATGTCTAAATAAAACATCGTAGCCGATGGCAGACATAAATTTTATGATATTATTTCACTGCGTTTTGTATTAGGAAAAAAAAGACACTGAGATTAAAGAGGACTTTAGAAACAGTTAATCCCCGCAACATTAAGCTTAAACAGCAAGTTTCCGGTTCCCTGCAGTGACAATCATACAATCGTAACTATCATTGTCAAATGTTCAGAACAACGTTACTTCCTGTAAACGAATGCGTAAAATACAACGAAACTACAGTTATACAAAACAAAGACTGGACAAATTAAATTTCTAATACGCAATTAATATGATGAAAATGTTTGATTAATCTCGATACACAATTTTCTGTCTTTGTTTCCATGAACACTTTTTTGTGAAAACCGATACTTTTATGCACTCCTACACCATGAAAAATTTCTTAATAGGGTTAAACAATGGCAAAAATCCTTTGTCAACCATTCAACATCACAAAGGATAGCACAGGGGTTGATGAAATAACAGATTTTCAAATTTCCGATTTAAACGAACTTCTAAGAATTCTTGCAATATTTTTTAATTCGGAAATCTCAATTGAACTGAAAAAACAATATTCATTCATTATTTTACATTTATAATTGCAAAGTAATTTAAAATTCTGTAAAATAATTGACATTGATGAATTTTTTTAAAGAAAACTGTTACAGTATAATATTAAATAAAATGTTAATTTTATAGTATATAGTAAAATTTGTCAGGGTTTTTTTGTCCTTAATATCAACTACATGTGTTTGACAAAATTTCAAGTTCCTGTAATACTATCTCATGACATTTACAAAACGATTCTCTTTTTTTATGAAGAATTTTTTTTTTTAATTTACAATACATATCACGGGCCCCTTTTATTTTTCTTTAACACCAGCATCAAAATATCGGGCCCTTTCCACATCACAATACTTTTTTCAAAAACCCAAATCAATAAAATCTTTTTGGACCAAAATTTGTGTTGAAAACCCCCAAAAAACCCCAATAATTTTATTGTAAAACTTAAATTTTTTAACCAAAATTCTGGGGAAAAACCCTTTTCCCCAATACCATATCCAAAATTAATTTGTTTTTAAAATGGTTTAAAAATAGGGAAAAATTTAAGCTTTTTAATGAAAAATTTTAATTTCATGATTTAAAAACAATATCTCTAATAATATATAACTAGTATATTACTGTGAAGATTATGTTAGGTCAAGTCGTTACTGGTAAATGACGAAAATCAAAATAGCAAACTGTTCACAGGACACAGAACTGATCCCACATTTGGCTGTTTTGTCAGTCTATGAAGAGATGTACAGCATGACAGCCAGACAATCACCCCCACCTCCCCACCCCCCACCCCTGTAAAAGACAACTGCTGCAAAAAATACTTCAATTACATGCATGCAGTAAGTACAAAAATACATCACATACCAGCAAATGTAGACATCATTAGCAATTACCCTAGATCATACAGTAAAAGAAAGCTTAAAAGACCCTATTGCACAGAAATTCCCTGTTAACATCAGTGCCATGACTGTAAGAACTTAAGAACCTACTCAAAACCTAAAACCTGTATTTGTAACACATGTGTACTATTCCAATATTCTTGCCTCAAAACAGTAAATATTCCAAGTTGTTCTCTTGGAAAATGACTTATGGGGAAAATTACTTGTGGTATATTAAAGTGATTTTCAGCAATCAACTAGGCACCAATATCTTTGAAAGTGTAATAAAAAGTAAGGTTTTATATCATATAAGATATTATGAACATTAACTGTAATCATTCATAAAGTATGATAGAGCTGCCTCAGAATATAAGTACATATGGTATGTTACATACATTGTACTTCACATTACATAAAAACATATCATTATATAACATAAAATGGAACGTACCTAGCTTTATTACAGGAATATAAATCATGCCGCAATTTTCTCTTTAAGGTTGTTTCATTACAATTATTTTCAGAAGCTTTGATAAAAACAAGTTTATTTTATTAGCTCAGGTTTTATTAGAAAGTGTAATGCCAGAAAATTAAGTCGTTTTATTTTCACATTACATTATTATAAAAGATTGCATTCCAAAACAATTTGCCAAAAGAAAGTCAGTTCAAGTTTAGTATAATTATGATGTTATTTCAACCTTGACATTTTTTGAATATCTTTAAATGAAGGCTGTCTTTTTAACTGAAAATTGGGAAAAAAATCACAGAGAAACAAGAGCTTATTCACTGCAATGGTATGTAGTAAAACAAAGGCCATGTAAAACTTTACTTAACAAAGGGGAATACTTTAGTAAATTTCAATGTAAGAGTTACGGGTCTTGGCCAATGAAATACAATTATGCCCATTGCAAAGAAATATATGAAGTTTCCAATAAATATCTTTAGTATAATTGAGAAAACTTTCAAAAGAACTCCACTGAGGTCAAAAAACCTAAAAAAATGAAATTAAACTTCTTGCATATTAAATCAAGTGAAGCACTCAAAATAGAAAAATCTGCATAGCATATTTAAGAAATATACTCAGAATTTAATTGAATAACAACTAGGTTCATTTCTTAGACCGATATCAATGAAAAGCATTGCAATGCTGTTCATTTTTTGTTATTTTTTTAAAAATGAAATTAATAATTCTGGAAAAACGGGGCGAGGAAATGATCTGAAAAATGTACACAATTATTGATCCAGACATACATCAAATATTTCCAGTCCCATCATATCTAAAAACCTCAATGGAGTCCCTTAACATTCACAAAGGGGCACATTTATTCAGAAATTATGGGTCTTTAAAACTTTGATCCTAAACGGCAAATTTGTATTTCGAGGGCTGTAAAAGATTTAATTATTTATGAAAATTAAAAGATACACATATCTCTTGAATTCTTATATATTAACTTGCATACGGTACCTATACATTATATACGGTACCTATACATTATATACGGTACCTATACATTATATACGGTACCTATACATTATATACGGTACCTATACATTATATACGGTACCTATACATTATATACGGTACCTATACATTATATATATCTTCATATTTACATATTCTCTCCTAATGAGATTGGCAGAAAACATCAATAAATACAAATCATAGGAAACCCTGCATTTGCAGATGTGCTCTTTAAAACGCAGACGGTTTGGATATCTTCCCAAAATTTCATCGCAGCTCAAAGTGCAGTTTGGCAGGTCCTAGTAAAATTTCACTAGAGGATTACTATTTATTTGAAAATAAATTGTTTTGCAAAGCTAGATAATTTAGCTAGACAAAACAAGATTTCTTTCTGTGTTTCGCAATCGAAATGTCAGAAATGATCGCTCTGAAACTTCTCAAACCTTTGAATATTAACGTAGTGAAATATTTTTTGTATTTTTTTTACAAAAATTATATGATATCATAATTCGTTCAAGATTGATTTATGAAGTAAATTCCAACATATACTTGGCGGCAGAGGAAATGCCAATGTGAACTGGTTTAACACATGTTTTATGACTTGTACTTGTGGCGGAAGAAAAAATGGCCAACTGAAAGCATTTTGATAGCTGCTCTGGATATTAATTTGCATGACATGTCACAATTTGAATATCAAAAAAATTTTGTGTAAAATTAAGCTAAATCAATTTAAATTATGTTGAAAATTCATTCTGACATTCTAAACATTCTAAAAAACATTTGTCAATGCCCCTGAAACTGCTTACTTGCTGTTATAATTGTTTGTTCAGCTTTCGATGCAGGGCGTCTGCATACCTATCAATTGTGTAAATTCTTAAATCAGCTTTCGATGCAGGGTTTCTACTTACTTATTTTTAAATCAGCTATAGATGCAGGGCGTCTGCAAACTTATCAATTGTAATCATTCTTAAATCAACTTTTGATGCATGGCGTCTGCATACCTATCAATTGTGTAAATTATTAAATCTGAGCTTTCTATGCAGGGTTTCTACTTACTTATTCTTAAATCAGCTGTAGATGCAGGGTGTTTGGGTACTTATCAAATGTGTTCATTCTTAAATCAGTTTTTGATGCATGGCGTCTGGGTACTTATCAATTGTGTTCATTCTTAAATCAGCTTTTGATGCATGGAGTCTGGGTGCTTATCAATTAATCAGCTTTTGATGCAGGGCGTCTGCAAACTTATCAATTATTGTGTTCATTCTTAAATCGGCTTTTATGCATGGCGTTTGGGTACTTATCAATTGTGTTCATACTTAAATCAACTTCCACTGACCTTGAGACTTTTTCTATGCATGCTGTATAAGGGGACAAACTGGTGCTACCTATCATGACACCAGTACTGGTTAGTTCCTAAGAAGCATACTCGAAATAGCTCGAAATAAGTTACAACCAAGCTTCAATAAATAATATTAATTTTAACCTAAGCCTTTTAGGCAAAAATTTACAATTTAATGGTTTTGATTTAGATTTTTCTATTCACATTATTATACAACATGATAATTAATGATTCGGATAAAGGCATATAATAATTTGTCCACTAACTTCGATCAATAATTAATCACATTTTGTGACAAACAAGGTGAATGATTTTATAGCTCTAGAGCAATTAGTGAAATAGTACAAGTGTATAAATTTATATCAATTTCCATTAAATATTGGCCTTTCATGAAATATATACTTCCCTATCAGCTAATCAAGTAATAAAACCCTAAGGCCCAACATTGAACTAATGGCAAAAAAAGCCTTGTTACAGAGTAAAAAATACTAAAACCAATTCATCCGTATTTGTTAAAAAGAATGACAATGCATTTATTAAACTGCGTATAAAAAAATTTAATATTCCACAAGAACGTATAGCCATTAATCACAGTTATAATCGTATCTGACAAAATACCCGATTTGCAAATCAAATCA